TGTGTGTGTGTGTGTGTGTGTGTTTTCTTCGCTATTTTGCAGCGATAAAAAAAGTTAATAATAGCAAGGGAATTAACAAATGAATACCAGAGAAATCCGAAAAGGTTCGTTATTATTCCAATAATCAGAAGATAACGAGAAATTCAGCGTGTTTTGTGTACGAGAGATTAGCATAAATTATATCAGTATAAAGACCAGCCGGCGATGAAATATATTTCCCATAGAAGAAACAGCACAAATTATGGAACATTTGAATTTGTTAAAAAAGAAAAAAAAATCGCTGGTGTGAGTTACGGAGATGAGTCCCTGTCGATTTTTTTTTTTTTTTTTTTTTACAGTGCCATAAGTCAGGAGATTCACGGCCAAGCAGGCTTCTAATACCACCCGTAAGCCTTCTCTATGTCGAGTAGCTTTCCCTTCGTTGCACTGTCCTTCCTTCCACTTTTTCCTCACCTGAACAGCGCCACTCACGCACCGGACTCACGCACTAACGCACCGGCCTCACTCGCTCACACAGCTCACTCATCTGCTGTGTTTCAGCGCCTCAGGTCACGCCTTTCAAGTCGAATTTATTGAAGAACTTACTATGGCTGATTAAAAACAAAACACGGAATAGGTTATGACTAGCTTACGACAAACATGTGCGTGCATGAGAACATGCACAAGCACACGAAGTACATGACACACCCCCGGCATCGCGCTGAACACACACACACACACACACACACACACACACACACACACACACACACACACACACACACACACACACACACACACACACACACACACACATACACACGCACGCACACACACACACACGCACACCACAAAGCGCAACGAGTCGCCGTTCCTCAGCGCCGCCTCCCGAGCCTCACATGTTGATATCAAAATCCCCAATTAAAGCTCGCGGCCGTAAATCAGTAATAAGTCCAAGGCCGCGGAATAAATCAGAATTGCGCGCGTCCCGGAGCCTCTTCTCGGCGGCGGAGAGCGCGGCCGTCCCTCACTGCGCCCGCGGCACGAAACTCACGCCAGCAGGAGTCATTAAGCAAACAGTCTCATTTTTCCCCGACTTATCGCTCGCCTTTACGACGGCCCGGGACCGCTTACGCCCGAATTATTACCTGCCTTCTTAATTAAATGCCTGGAAACGAATGCGGAGGAGGGAATCTGATTGTATCGCCATCGCCGCTTCCCTCCCTCCCTCCCTCTCTCCCTCCTTTCCCCTGCCCCTCCCTTCCTCCCTCCCTCCAGCCAGGCAGCCAGTCCCTCCTCAAGTCGCCGCAGCCGTCCCTTCTCCCTTCCCTCCTCACGGCCTCTTCCCTCTACGCTCCTTCCTTTCTTACGGACTCTTTCCTTCTCATGGCCCCTCCCTCCCTCCCTCCTCCTCCCTCCCTCCCTAACTTCCCTCGCTATCTACCTCTTTCCCTCCCTCCCTCCTTCCCCTCTCCTCCCCCCCTCTTTCCCTCCGTACCAAGGCGGACCCAGACTCCTCTTGATCTGCAAGCCTGGCGTGGTGTATCGCCCGCGGCCGCTCTCCCCTCTTAATCTCTAGTGTCATTTTAATCCCCGTCCCTTTACGCGAGATGCTTAATTCTATCCTATTTCTTCGCCCCTTCTTCCATCTCATCTCCTTCAGAAAATTGTTATATGAGCAGCGCGGGACCAAAACGCGCGCTTTCCCCCTGCCTTACAATTTCCTTCACGCTGCAAGTTGCCTCGGACTCTCAGGGTCCTTCGCCTGGGAGTGCTTCTCGCCCCGAGTCCCTCAGCGGAGTCCTTCGGAGGCCCGAAGACGCTCCTCCGAGGACCCTACAGCCAAGCGTCCGCCGCAAGTTCCATCACGTCACGAGCCCCTCCGCAGCGCAGGATTCCTCGCCGGCCCTCATAGTCCTCATTCCTGATCCTCTCCTGCAGCCAAACCAGGTGTATTTTGACTGGTTCTTATCAGCTGACCTATGCAAACGGGCTATTAAAAGTTCTCTTATCTCTGGTGATAAACATCAATTTCCTGGAGTTCTGACGCGAATTGCGATTCTTAACTGATAGTTTTTGCGCCAGCTGCTATCGTTCACACAGCGGCCATTATAGCAATAGGGACTGATTGCTTTTTAATGCATTTGAAAGTGAATTCAACCGTGCCTTTTATATTCGGTGCTTGGCTGTTTATATTGTTCGGACATTCTCCAGTCATCTGCGTGTATCAGGTCTCACGATTACTGTCTCGCCGACATTAATCTGATTTTAGTGTTCTCGATGTATTTATTCTTACTCGCACGTGCTAAGCGGAGGCCTTTGAAACAAATAAACATCACAAGTCCTTTTGAGATTCGTAAGAAGCAATCGTCCCTTCGCGGATTCCATTTCGGCGTCTATGAATACCATTTCAATTGCGACTTCCACGCCATAAGAAGAAATAGCATTTATGGATTTATTCATAAGATCTGTCAGGATTTGACCGCCGCTTCCAACTGTCAAGTTCTATCGGTCGCCTGTCACGTGACAAGACGGAGCATTTGGGATGAAGTTCCCGTGGGTTCTTTCTCTTGCTGCGGAGACGGCTGTCATGGCGGGGTCAACGTGAAAGCCGTTGATCTTCTATAAATATATAAACGATCTAGCACTTACAAAGCCGAACAGCGTTGCTTCGTCTGCTTTATTAAATCGACTCCAGCCAACAATAAGAGTTGTGTAATGATTTTGCAAACCGCATATCAATTGAGGATACAAATCCTTCATCACTGTTAGTATGAAGGTCAATGATACTAAGATTAATTTGCTCTCCTTTACGTTCCTATTCTCAATTAGCCCCCTTCTGCAAAACGCAGATCCTGCACAGCAAAGCAGGATTGACATATTACATTATTATAGGGTATTTGACGGGTGCTCCTAAGCTGCACTGGCACTGAAGTCCCCCAAACAAACATGCTGATCTTTTCCGTGAGCCGAGGAGGAGCTTCATGCCGGCGATGCTGCTAAATGCTCTCGCTTGGCGTCGAACCTGCGTTCACACCTCGCGTTCCAGCGTTGGCTGTATTCTCGCCGGACTTACGGAGCAGCTCCCCTTCGTGGTGTTCCGCGGAGCCCTCGGCCAGGTGCTCCTCGCAGGCCGGCTTTGTGCCCCGGGTGGATGCTCGTGGCCGGCGCGCCAGATCACGATCGGCGGTCACCTGACAATTAGGGCGAGCGAGGGAGCGAGGGAGCAGGTCCCGACCAATAATCCACAAATATGCCCGCAGTAAACGAAACAAGTGGGAGTTTTAAGACCTCTTGAAGCGGGATTTTATGTGCGGTGTACAGCAGTGGCCGGTTAATGTGGACAGGCTGAGGCGACGCCCCTTCAAAGGATGCGAGGCTATGGTTGGGCGCTCGGCCGGGCGGGGGGAGGGGGAGGGGCGTGCTGACCGGAGATAAGGAGGGACATCAGGGCGAGAGAAGATAACGGCGCTGCGATATCAGTAAGAATGTGTATCTCTAAGAAAAAGCAAAAGAGGCAATGAAATAGGATCCAGAGCGCGGCTGACTCACCAGCGCCGCCTATTGGTGAGGACGCAAAGTAAACGAACGAAATTTAGATTCTCGTCAGCGAACGTAAATAAAAATATAAAAAGGAATTAAGGGAGAAAAACAAAGGCCAGGAATTAACGCCGAGCGACGCGCCCCTTGCTGTCTGCTTTGGCCGGTAAGTTTTGTAGCGTAAGTGTACACTGGTGTTAACAGGAGTCTTAAATACTATTAACGAGTGTCCCCCATAAACACGATGATACATTCTCCGCGCGCAAGCCACAATGACCAGTACTTGCTGCGAGCGTAAGGGCGGGTTTTCGCAGCTGTAGGTCCCGACTGTGAACTTAACGAGGCAATCAGAAAATCACCACTCTTACAACTACCAACAGTAATGCCGCTATATTGCATATACGAGACTTTTAGAATACGAGATGGCCCGCTATTACTCAAACTCCACAAGGCGCTGTATGGATAACTATAACAATTTCTATGCGCGCCGGCCAGCCTCCCGTCGGCGTTCCGTTCCGAAAGGCAGCGAAGCCGAAGGAAAAGCCGAGGCGCCACACGGCCCAGGCGACGGCGTTTCCCTCGCATATTTAGCGACTGATACCGCGCAGCTTAAGAAATGAAAGTCGTTCAAATCTACACCTCGAACTCGAAGTCTCGAAGATTTCAAAAGCCTGTTAGACTTAAATAATGGCTTATTCTTCATGTTAAGTATACAAACAGACTCTTACGCGGTAATGTTGATATTCTTTATTAGGTACTAAAGACAGAGCCGGAAAATCAGATGAATGTCTGGTCCATTTATTCTGCTGGGAACATTCACAAAACTTTAGTTCTTCAATTAAAATTCAAGATATCACGTTAATCCCCCGTTTTATACATCATTACAGAAGACATAAAGAATAAAAGAAGCAATAATTCTTCGTTGATTTTGGGATAGCAGTTCATCAAGGAAGACTTAATATCTAAATGTCTGTGTTTCACTTTATCTCAGATTGATTTACTACCAACATTACCACATAAATGGCACTTTACGGCATTCCCTTTTTGGTCGCTTTTAAACTCTTGCTAAAAAAAGGGAAAAAAAAGTTATGCTTACTGGGGCTTCAAATCATTTCGATTATATTGCACGTTCGTTCTGTACCTTTTCTCGATCCGGCGACTCAGCCAAGAGCAGCGCGAGTCCTTTGTGTCGGCAGCTCATTACGGACCTTTGCTTCCATTACGAACGAAATAATTACCCGAACGAGCGCCGGCTCTGCTCAGCGCCTGATTAACCTTTCTGGCAAACCTGTCCAAAACAAACCATCCAAAAGCCTCTGGAAAAATCTCGGACGAGTGCCAATTGCAGCCAAACCTTAACTTTAGGACGAAATAAATCAGACGAAATGTGAACGCGTGAATGACATTAAGTGAGAACCATACGCACTATCTGGCCTACCATCACCCGGGCTTTCAACAGTCGCAACAGCAGTGCAAGATAACTATCGCAAGCCTTGGTCAGAGGGCGGTCGAGATCCAGCCGCCCCTTGCAAAATTTGAGGGCGAGAGCTCTGCCACTCGCTAAGTGGCGTCCAAGGGCCCGAGACAATGCTAATGCCATCCCGCCGAGGATTCTTAAAGTAAACAAAGTCTCGAACATATCCTCCAATCCTGGGCTGGTCGACGGCTTTCCGAGACAAGGGAAAAGCTAAGAAATTTCTTTTATCTGCGGCATTCATCAGTAATACAGCAAGAAACCTTAGATTGCACACATTCGCTCTTAACAAGGTAGACACCTTTTTTTTTTAACAAAGTAAAATGTTCCATAATTTGTGTTGTTTCTTCTATGGAATGTGTGATGTATTTTATCACCAGCTTCGCCCATTTGCCAAACTCTTATCCATTTTTATTGTTTGCGAGTCTCTTTATGTGTTGTGTTGGCGGCCTCTACTTTTTTCCTGAAGGGTTTACCGCTATTATAATGAGGCAGTCGCTGTGCTGCTGATATAGACTGCTCTGCCCTACGACTCTGCCCGGGCTAATTTATAATGAAAATCGAAAAGAAGGTAAATGCCAAATTCAAAGACGTAAAAGTAATTTCTTACGCCTTGGTCCCCCCTTCCCTCACGCCTCGAGCATTGTCTCCCCCCTCCCCCGCTCGCCCCTCCCCTCTCCTGCACCATCTTGCTCCCCCGCCTTTATCACCTCGGTCCCTTCCCCCCCGCGAATACCTCCCCCACCTCCCTCTCCCCCTGCCCCCCTTCCACCCTCATTCTCTCCCCCCTCCCTTTATCGCGCCTTCTCCCACGCCCTTTTCTTCCTCGGCCACCTCTCCTTCTCTCTTCTGAAACCATTCGCCCTGTTGCTCTCCCGCCCTCGACAGCCCCCTCCCCCCTTCCCCCCCTCCCCTCACCCGGACGCGGGGCGAGCAGCACTGAGGGGCACGTGGCGGACGCTGGTACTCACCGCTCTGTGAGGTGCGCACGTCCTGTAGCTCCTGTTGCTGTTGCTGCTGCTGCTGTTGCTGCTGCTGTTGCTGCTGCTGCTGCTGTGGCTGGTGTGACTTCGGGCTGTGGTGGGGGTTCTCGCCTTGGCTGGAAGACCCTCCCGAAGCCGCCGCCGCCGCCGCAGCTGCCGCCGCCGCCACGGCAGCGTTCTTAACGCCCTCCTTGGCCAGGGACTCGGCTGCGGGAGGCACAGAGACACCGTTGCTTTATTCTGTCGTCGCAGATGGCACTCCACGACACCCATTCACACAGCAACAAAGAGTCATTCAGGCTTCTCGCATTCAGGGTCAAGTGAGGCGAAGGGTGACCTAGCTTGCTTTAAGGACGCGGGAGCGACGTACGAGGACGACGGTAGTGAGGCAGCGGCGTGAAAAGCGGTCACGGCCTAAAGAGGTGGACGCGTCACCAGGGCACAGAAGGCTGTATTACGAATGACGTATGGACGCTGGACCGGAGTCCGCGATGCAGCCTGGTTGTGTAAAACGCGATTTGCATTTTTTCCTTTAAATGATCAAAAAATATCTTCGCAAGAAAAAAAGACAGCTTATCGAGAGAAGAAAAATAACCCCAAATATTTCAGGCGTATTGTTCCCTCGTCGAACGATATTAACCACGAACCTAAAAAAATAATAATAATAAAAAATAAAAACATCGGCGCACAAACGGGCGAACAATAACACGGGATTCAAAAGAACAAAAGTAAAAGAAAATGGAAAGATTTGCCTAAAGTTTTGACCGCTGGTAATGTGATTAAAAGGATTCGAGAAAAAGAGCGAGGAACTAATGCGATTACAGGCGCTCTAACAATCCCAACTTCTTAATCCTCACAATCTCATTTGTTTGATTATCCTCCCTCGCTCGCTCGCTCGCGCGCGCGCTCCCGGTCGCTCCCGGTAACCTCACTCGTTCGCTCGTTCCCGGTGTGTGTGTGTCTGTGTGTGTATGTGAGTGTGAGTGTGAGAGTGAATGTATGTGTGTGTGTGTGAATGTGTGTGTGTGTGTGTGTGTGTGTGTGTGTGTGTGTGTGTGTGTGTGTGTGTGTGTGTGTGTGTGTGTGTGTGTGTGTGTGTGTGTGAGAGAGAGTGTGTGTGTGTGTGTCAGTGCGTGCATGGGTGTGTGTGTGTGTGTGTGTGTGTGTGTGTGTGTGTGTGTGTCAGTGCGTGCATGGGTGTGTATGTGCATGCATGTGTGCGCTCACAAATTGCGTTTTGAGTTTGTGCTGAGGCGGAAGGTTGTGTGTCGCTATTCACTCTTTCCAAAATTCTACAGCGATTGCATTTTGAATCGGATCCCATAAATATCTTTAAAAATAGCGTTCAAACAGAACTTCACCCTAACGATAATTACTCGCTAAACATCATGCACTGCAAATCACGGCCCCCGCGCGCCTCGGCTCCTTCGTGCAATTCTGCTGCCTTCTCTTGCTCATTTATCTCAGTGCCCCTTCCACCCCTCTCTCTCTCTCTCTCTCTCTCTCTCTCTCTCTCTCTCTCTCTCTCTCTCTCTCTCTCTCTCTCTCTCTCTCTCTCTCTCTCTCTCTCTCTCTCTCTCTCTCCCTCTTTCTCTTTCTCTCTCTCTCCTTTATTCTTACTCTTTTTCTCATTCTTATTTTTTGTTTGCTTGTCTCTTTATTTTTCTCTTTCTCTTATAACTCACACATACACCTTTGTATACAATTTCTTCAATTCCTTTTATCAATCTTCCTTACTCTACCTGCAAATATGTTTGTCTCTGCCTGAATATCCCTCTTTCTTCCTCCCTTCCTCCATCCTATCTCTTTCTTTCTCCGTCTTTCGTGCTTCCTCCTCCCTTCCACCCTCTTTCATCTTCCCTCCCTCACTCCCTCCCCTTTTCAGTCCTCCCTCCTTCTTTGTTTCTCTCTCCTTCCCTCCCTCCCTCTTTCTCTCTCCATCCCTCCCTTCGTCTCCCTTCCTTCCTCTCTCTCTCTTTCCATCTCCCTCTCTCTCTCTTTCCCCCTGCCTCTCTCTCTTTCCCTCTCCCTCTCTCTCTTTCCCTCTCCCTCTCTCTCTCTTTCCCTCTGCCTCTCTCTCTTTCCCCCTCCCTCTCTCTCTTTCCCTCTCCCTCTCTCTCTTTCCCTCTGCCTCTCTCTCTCTTTCCCTCTGCCTCTCTCTCTTTCCCCCTCCCTCTCTCTCTTTCCCCCTCCCTCTCTCTCTTTCCCTCTCCCTCTCTCTCTTTCCGTCTCCCTCTCTCTCTTTCCCCCTCCCTCTCTCTCTTTCCCTCTCCCTCTCTCTCTCTTTCCCCCTCCCTCTCTCTCTTTCCCTCTCCCTCTCTCTCTCTTTCCCTCTCCCTTTCTCTCTTTCCCTCTCCCTCTCTCTCTCTTTCCCCCTCCCTCTCTCTCTTTCCCCCTCCCTCTCTCTCTTTCCCTCTCCCTCTCTCTCTTTCCGTCTCCCTCTCTCTCTTTCCCCCTCCCTCTCTCTCTTTCCCTCTCCCTCTCTCTCTCTTTCCCCCTCCCTCTCTCTCTTTCCCTCTCCCTCTCTCTCTCTTTCCCTCTCCCTTTCTCTCTTTCCCCCTCCCTCTCTCTATCTCTTTCCCCCTCCCTCTCTCTCTTTCCCCCTCCCTCTCTCTCTTTCCCTCTCCCTCTCTCTCTTTCCGTCTCCCTCTCTCTCTTTCCCCCTCCCTCTCTCTCTTTCCCTCTCCCTCTCTCTCTCTTTCCCCCTCCCTCTCTCTCTTTCCCTCTCCCTCTCTCTCTCTTTCCCTCTCCCTCTCTCTCTTTCCGTCTCCCTCTCTCTCTTTCCCTCTCCCTCTCTCTCTCTTTCCCTCTCCCTCTCTCTCTCTTTCCCTCTCCCTTTCTCTCTTCTCCATCTCTCTCTCTCTCTTTCCCTCTCCCTCTCTCTCTTTCCCTCTGCCTCTCTCTCTCTTTCCCTCTGCCTCTCTCTCTTTCCCCCTCCCTCTCTCTCTTTCCCTCTCCCTCTCCTGACTGTCTTCATTTACCACCTTCGGTATATGATATTCCACTTGCCCCGAGCTATCTCCTTCTCCCCTTCCCCCTTCCCTGCTCTCCTCCCTTTTCACCTGTCCCCTTCCATGCCCTTCCCCCCCTTCCCCCTGTCTCCTTGCCTCCCTTACCCTCCCCCCCTTCCCTGACTCCCTTCCCCCTTCCTTGTTCTCCCCCCTTTCCCCTGTCCCCTTGCCTCCCTCCCTCCCCCTTCCCTCCTCCCTCCCACCCCCTTCCCTGACTCCCTTCCCCCTTCCCTACTCTCCCCCCTTTCCCCAGTCCCCTTGTCTCCCTTCCCCACACCCCCTTCCCTTATCCCTTCCTCCCCCTCTCCCCTCCCCCCTCCCTCCCCCTCCCCCTCCCTCCCCCCGCCCCAGCCTACAATTAAGAATAATGGTCTCTGCCATAATTCTATACGTCGCGCTGCCAGAAAAAATAGGTTTCAAAAATCAAGGATTCTCGAGTCCGGACGATCCAATATCACACAAAATAATCAGAAGAGATAATTATAAGATGAAGCTCAGCGCAGTAATTAAAACTTTAATGAATTAATTGATAGGAATCATTAGGGATGGTGCTGCATTTTTGAGTGAGGCTCACCTCGCATTAGAGGGGAAAAGTCGAAATTTTACCCTTCGAAGATTTCACTTACCTGTTTTCCAAATGTTTTCGTTCTTTTTTTCAAAAATCAATAACCCGCTTCGCTCGGCCGTATTTCAGCGTATGGGACACGTTTCGCTTTTGGAAATGCACTGCCTTTTAAAAGAGGCACTTGTTCTTAGTGCCAGGACGAGAGAGAGACGCCCGGTGCCTCCCCGTCCTCCGGCCGTGACGCTCGCAAGAGACTCGGGCTCCACTGGGCTGAATAATTGCGACATGCTTGTTAAATAGTTTTTTACGTCACTTGATGAGCCTCTAAAAGTGTAGCAAAACTATTCCCCGATATTACATGTCTTGCGCGCCAGATTCGCCCTTAACGCAAGGCGACAGAGATGTCTTCCGGATTTTTGGATTTTTTCAGTTGCATTGTGATTAGTCT